GAGGTGGTGCGGTTGGCGCAGGATAGAGCAGGGTTTAGAACTGTTGTGCATAGGGTCGCTATGAGTCGGAAACGACTCGATGGCACATAACAACAACAATTAATTTTAAACCAAATATTTTTATTTTCTTCAAATTACTGCTTCTCCATTTCTTTAAAGTTTCCCATAAGCACAACTGAGCACTGTGGAATTCTTATTTTTCATAATGTTAATCATAATTCAAAAACTATGCCTTTTCATAGTCAACAACACATCTACAGGCTTTTGGATCTTGATTGAAAGAAAATTGTACCACATGATGTTCCACATGGTCTTTTGAATCCAGCTTGAATTCCCAGTAGTTTTTTTGTTGATGTACTTCTCCAACTATTTTTTGCATTCTCTTCGGCAAGATGTTACTAATGTGTGAGATTAATGACATTGTTGAATAATTTCCACTTCGTGTTGTACCATCTTTCTTTGGAATGGGAACAAATACGGATCTGTTCCCTTAATTTGGCCATGTTGGCCTTTCAAATATTTAAACGTAGATGAGTAAGCATGTCCATATCTATTTTCCAACCACTGAATCCTACTTTGTTCCCAACTTGTGTATTTTAAGAACCAGTTATTATTGATGTATCTTGATTGCCTGTTTAATTAACTCTAAACTTCAGATAGGTTATCATAGGTTATATTCATAGGGTTATCAGAGGCCAGTTATTTTAGATGTGAATAGTCAATCCTTCTTCCTAATCTGTCTCAATCTGGGCACTCCACTGAAACGTTTCCAGGATGACCCCTCTGGCATTTGACACACAGGCAGCACAGCTTTCAGCATCACAGCAACCCACAAGTTCACCAAACTGGAAGAGAAGTGCTATACTAATTAGAATAATGATAAACCAGCAATAATACAGATTTCCATGCTACAAAGTAATTAGCAATAAATTCTCAAATATAACAAATTGCTGTCAGCCTCACAGTTTAAGACTCTACGTCTGAGTCCCAGGTACCAGCTCTAAGGGAGGGCTTTCCCTCTCTGACAGTTCTGGAAGAGGGTCCTTCTCTCTGATCTTCTGCTCCAGGAGAGTATTCCTGTGGCTACTGTGTACTGGAGCCTTACAACTGAGGGGCACAGCTGGCACAGCAGGATAATGTACCAGAGGAGGGTGATGTTTTGGCTAGATCCTGTAAGTCTTTGGGCTGAAGCAGATGCAAAGGATAAAACACTTCCTTCTGCTGCTGTCTGCTTGCCTGCCCTAAGCCCATACATTTTGAGGGAGGCCTAATGGGAGCCAGAGAATCAGGCTTATACTGAGAGATCAACATGTCAGGATTTAGATCTGGGTAAAATGAAAGAGACAGCATATAAAAATGCTCCTTTCTAATGCTTCTTGGATCCAGAGTGCACCTTGGAGGCAAAGATGATGAGGTATCCTCTCACATATTTTGGGCATGTTTCTAGGAGAAGTTATTTCTTAGAGAGGGCCATCATGTTTGGGAAGGTGGAAGGATCGTGAAGGAGAGTACGATCCTCAACCAGATGGGCTGACACAGTGACTGCAGCAATGGGCTTGAGCTGGTGGAGATTGTGAGAATGGCACAGAATAGGACACAGTTCAGATCTGTGGTTCATAGGGTTGCTATGAGTCGTACTGGACTCAGTGGCACCTAACAACAACAACATCAAACTGCAGAAGTTGGTAGAAATCTTATTTCTTCATCTTTTACTTTATTGGCTGATACATAAATATAAATAGTGGAATTTCTGGTGGCCTAATGGGTAAGGAGCTGCACTGCCAACCAAAGGCACATATTTGAATCCACCAGCTGCTCTTTGAGACAAAGATTGGCAATCTTCTCCTGTGAGATTTACTGCCTCTGAAAGGCCATTTAAGAGTCAGCTATAAGTCAGTTCTGACTCCATTGTACACAACAACAAAGCTAGGCATATCAATCTTTATAGATAAATGTCGATGGTTGTAGAGGGGCTTCAAGACTTCCATTCATTGGTTTGCTATGAGTCACGCTCAACTCGAAGGCAATCAACAACATTGTATTTTACTTGAAGGGAGCTCTGGTGGCTTTGTGGTAAGAAGCTGCACTGCTGACCCAAAGGAAAGCTGTTCGAATTGGCTGGCTCTTCTGTGAAAGAGAGATGAGCAATCTCCTCCTGTGCAATTTACTACCTCTGAAAGTCTGCTGGAGGGTCTGCTACAGATCGGTTCTCTAACTCAACAGCATACAACAACTAATAACAACTTAATGACAACTAATAACAGCTTAAAAGGAGAAAGGTAAGAACTCATTTTGATAAGAGATGAAATGAAAACTTTGACCTTTTTAATGAGGGAGCTATCCTGAGTACAAACAGAACTTTTCTCCCCCCCCCCCCTTTTTTTTTCATCTGGGACCACTGCATGGCCTCAGGAACCCTCTCATTAACCACTATAAAGTATAAAGTGTGTGTAAGAGGAAACAGAAATGCATTTATGTGTTCAGAAATAATTTGGTAAATAGGGTAACAGTGGAAATTGAGACTTTCTTTTATAGTAGGAAATAACAATCTATTCCTATAGCTCTTCTACAGCTCTCCTTGAATCCAAGCATACCACTATTAATCTCTTTCTTGGTCTCACTCTATATCATCCATTTTTACATATCAGAGTAATACTTTTATACAAATAATTGGCAATGTCACTCTTCTGATTAAAGTTTTGAGCAACTTTCTTCACCCATATCATTGGTTCACAGTTCCTCAGCATGGCATTTTAAACTTTTTTTTAAATTTTTGCAATATGTAAAAATAAATGACTTCATACAGGTCCACATTTATATGATATAAAATCTGTTTTTCTACTCCAAGTAATAATTTTTTTAAATTTAATTTGTTTCTTTTTGCATTATTTACTAATAAATTCCTTTTTCATTTATCCTATTTTCTCAATTCCATTTCTAGCTTGATTTTACTATTTTTCCATGAAAATTACAAGCTCAAGATTAACAAGAGTTTTTGAAAGCTGCTTCATGATTAATGTACAACCAGAAACTAAATTTAAGAGAGATCCAGTAGCCCAAAGAAGCTCTTGAAGAACTATCATGATGCACTTGTTCCTCTTTTCCTCTACTTTGGTTGTGATTTTATAGATTTTTTTAAAATGTACTATGCATTAACGAATTAGCACTTAGACAAAGGCAAGACAGTCAGATAAAATGTTGTGTAGGACTCTGTTGTCAGGTGGCTTTATATCCTTAACCAAGTTTCTTCATTTTACTGAACCAAATCTACCATCTATGAAAAGAGGATATAAAGACATAAAACTATGCCATAATACACCTGGAATATCTGGCATAAACTTGGTCATCTGTATATATTAGTTTACTCTTACACAGTAATTTCTAACCAGATATGGGGAAAAAAAACACCCAGAAAAATCTTTATATTTTTTGTTAAGCACTTTAATTATAAATGTTTTAACATTTTGATAAAGTCACTTGTGTATAAAGTTTAATGAAATATGGCAATTAGGGAAAATTTCTAGAATTTGAGATATTTTCAGGAATTTCACACTCTTTTCAAATGCGTACTTTAGAGTTCTTTCAGAGACTAAAGACTTGATGTTTTCAACCTAATGTGTATTTGTATATGCAAATAGGGTCAAATAAACTCGTGGATCAGAAGGTTTATATTACTATATAATTATAAAAATATATTATATATTATTATCATTATTCATTTGTGCTTATTAAAAACACAAGATCTTCCTCTTCCCATTTAGATCCTAACTTTGTTTATTCCTCTGACACTGAGACAAAAGTCTGAACAAAACTCCAGGATCTGATTCTTCGATTCAGGATATTTGTTTCATACACACACTTGTATCTACACTAATGACTGGAGAAAACAGAACAAGAGTAAGTGAATTCATTCTCATGAGCTTCTCTTCCTTACCTACTGAGATACAGTCATTACTCTTCATGACGTTTCTGATCATTTACCTTGTCACTCTGATGGGAAATAGCCTCATCATCTTAGTTACCTTGGCAGACACTATGTTGCACAGCCCCATGTACTTCTTCCTTAGGAATCTGTCATTCGTTGAGATTGGGTTCAACCTAGTCGTTGTACCCAAGATGTTGGGAACCCTGGTTGCCCAGGACACAACCATCTCCTTCCTCGGCTGTGCTACTCAGATGTACTTCTTCTTCTTCTTTGGGGTAGCTGAATGCTTTCTCCTGGCCACCATGGCATATGACCGCTATGTAGCCATCTGCAACCCCCTCCACTACCCTGTTATCATGAATCAAATGACCTGTGCCAAACTGGCTGCTGTCTCCTGGTTTCCAGGCTTTCCAGTCGCTACTGTGCAGACCACATGGCTTTTTAGCTTCCCATTCTGTGGCAACAACAAGGTGAACCACTTCTTCTGTGACAGCCCACCTGTGCTGAGGCTGGTGTGTGCAAACACCGCCCTGTTTGAGATCTATGCCATCATTGGAACGATTTTAGTTGTCATGACACCTTGTACACTGATCCTATGTTCATACACTCGAATTGCTGCTGCCATTCTCAAGATTCCCTCAGCCAAAGGGAAGCGAAAAGCTTTCTCTACCTGTTCCTCCCACCTCCTTGTTGTATCCCTTTTCTATGTGTCCTTAAGCCTCACGTACTTTCGACCAAAGTCTAACAATTCTCCTGAAAGCAAAAAGTTGCTGTCACTGTCTTACACCATTGCGACTCCAATGTTGAACCCTATCATTTACAGCTTGAGAAACAAGGAGGTGAAGAATGCCCTTAGCCGTACTTTCCGCAAGGCTATCGGCCTCAGGAACAGCAATCTACAGACGTAAACAAATACAACTAGAGCCTCTTGAATAGGCACAATATCTCATGCTTGAGATTCCTCCCCCTAACCCCTGGAAGGACATCTGGATTCTGAAAGGATTATTGAAAAGCTCAGTGGAGAATAAAAGAGCACAAAGACATTTTAGATCTATTACACCATCTGCCAAAACTCATTGCCAATCTACTCAATGTTTTCATTCATTTCTTATAATATAATGAACATTTTGACATGTCAGTGGCCCAGCCATTTAAAGTATTTTCATTTCTTTTTTAAAAAATTACCATTATTATTCATTTCAATGAGCATTTACAGAGATTGTGGATTTCCATTCATTCACTGTTGCACTTTTCTCCCCGCCCACTCCATCAAGTATTTTCATTTCTAATATAACCTATGACTGGGCATTATGAGGAGGAATGTGGTGTCAGGATTGGGGGGAAGACTCATTAACAACCTACATTATGCAGATGACACAACCCTGTTTGCTGAAAATGAGGAGGACCTGAAGTGCTTGCTACAGAAGGTCAAGGACTGTAGTCTTCAATATTGATTTAAGCTCAACATCAAGAAGACAAAGATTCACGCCACCAGGCCAAATGGCAGCACCATGACAGATAGAGAAGAGATTGAGGTTGTTAATAGTTATAACTTACTCAGCTCTGCAATCAACACTGTTGGTACCAGCAGTCAGGAAATCAAAAGACAAATTGTGTTGGGAAAAGCTGCTGTCAGGGACCTTGCCAGAGTACTGAGGAGCAACGATGTCAGTCTAGAGACTAAGGTGCACCTGATCCAGGCCATGGTCTTTACATTATCTTTTCATCACTTATTTGGGGAATGCCACTTTCATAGCTGCTAGTATGTTTATTATAGGGAGCTCTGGTGGCCTTATGGGTAAGGAGTTGTGGAGCAACTGAAAGTCAAACAGTTTGGATCCACCAGTTGCTTTGCAGGAGAAAGATGGACAATCTTATCCTGTGCGATTTACAGCATTTAGAAACCTACCGGAGGGTCAGCTATGAGTTAGTTCTGACTCAGTGTCACAAAACAATAGCCTCCATGGTTAGCAGGAATGTAAAAGTGTGCAGCTGTTTAAGAAATTATAATAATAGCCAGGAATTCTACTGGTAGGTTAAAAAATACTAAAAAAGAATTTAAATCAAGGTATCAGATGCCATATTTATTGCACCAGCATCAAAACATGTAATCAACCAACAATTGACAAAAGATGAAAAGAACTCAATGAACATCAGTAGATGGATAAATAACATATGGTACATACATAAAATGTAAAAAAAATAGTATGGTTTATGTAGCACAATGGATAGACCTTGAAAACAGTATGCTGAGTTAATTCACACTCAAAAGGACAAATAATAAATACTTTTACTTATATGAAGTGTCCTGAATAGGAAATGCATTGACACAAAAGTTTATCCCTGGTTATCATATAATGGAGGGAAGGGGGAAAAGAAGTTTAAACTTAGATTTAAAGGATTATTCTGCATTTTCTTCATTACCCGAAACTTCATTATCTACATAAACATCTTCTTAAAAAATGTTTAAACTGTGTTTAACAACTGAAATTCTTTTACTTAATAAGTAGGTTGTGATACTTAATCAAGACCTGAGATTTAGTAGAAGGTTTTTCTCAAGATTCCCTCAGCTGAAAGGCAGCAAAAGCCTTTCTCCACCTGTTCCTCTCATATTGTTGTTTCTCTTAAGTCCAATAATTCTCCTGAGAGCAAGCTACTGTCATTGTACTATACTGTTGTGATTCCCATGTTGAACCTCAGCATCAATAGCTTGAGAAATAATGAGGTAAAAAAAAATGCCTTGGTTGCACATTTCACAGGGCCCTAAACCTCAGAACTGTAAGGCACAAAAAAAAAAAAAGAGTAATACGAGTAGTGGGACAATTAGTTTTATATTTAGGATTCTTCTCTGCCTTTAATCCCCTTTGGCTAGAAATTCACACACTGAAATATTTATTGGAAGGCTCAAAAAAACCCCCAAAAACAAACCATAGAAGTAGTTTAGAGTTATTACTACAACCCTGCAAAGTACTTAGCTGTCCATTCTAGACTGTGTTCCATTTATTATTGGTGCAATTATCAATTGACACTGTATAACCAAGGTCCTTCATATGTTCACTTTCCCAATATGCATGTACACGACATTTATTACAGCCAGTATAAACTGTCTGTTACTTTGAATTTGGAGATACACATAATGAAAAATGGGGGGAAATTACCTATTAGGACAAAGTATAGCTCACCCATAGATCTTCCCAAGGCTGTAAATATTTTTTATTCTT